GAAAGTATTAAGATAAACACAGCTCTGAGAGAGGTAAGTGTTAGGATTCTTAAAGTAGCAGGGCACTGAGCACCAGAGAAATGAAGAAGCTGAAAGCACTTAAGAGCAAGTAAGTCAACAGAGCTGAAGACAATTGACAACTTGAAAACTTGAAACCTTGAAATCCTGAGAACTGAAAAAATATATATTATTTCTGGTTGGAGTTTTATAAGTTCACAATTTGCTGCAAAATATCACAAAGAGTCTTAAAAAAATGCAGAGGTGTTGTGTCCTATTTTAAGGGTAAGTAACTGTTGTTTTTACATCTGGCTTTCAGGCTTGCATGCTTAACTGAGAGATTTAGGGAAGTCTGAGAAATTGATATGTAGTTAAAATGGAACTTAGATGCCCCCTTCAGGGTAAAAAAAAAAAGAGAGAGAAAGAAAGAAAGAAAGGAGGTAACCACATGCTACCACCCTAACAAACTGTTATTGAACAATTAAACTGGACGAGTTATCAAAAATTCACATCCCCCTCTTTGTCCTTAGAGAATATAGTAGCCATTTAAATGCCTGTAGAGGAGCAAAATTGAAAAGGTGTTCTTTATTCTGCATTGAGATGGTTCTTTCAGTCTTGCTAATGCCAAGAGTTCTCCTAATTAAAAAAAGACAAAGGCTACTGTTGTGCTAATAGTTCATACATCTGCTTACTAGTTCTTTCAAAAGCCTTTTTTCATCTATTGAAAATGTTAATAGGTATGTCCAATATTAGTAAATTAATAGACAAAATCCAAGAGATAGGACTGATGCAAGACCCTCCATACTCAATGTAAAAACCAAACCCAACAAACATCAAAGGACTTGCTTTTCTTTTTCCGGTTTTACATGTCAAAGTCACATGTTTTAGGAAGCAAGACCATACTCAGACAAATACTGGCTACAAAGCAGTTCTATGTGCTTGATACCAAGACAATATACAGCAAGACGAGGGTATAGGCACTTTTCATTAGAACACTTCTGCAAAAGTAAATACTAAAATGCCTCACCTGCAAAGCTTTTAAACACATACTGAAGTCAATGAGACTGCATCTTGTTCTTGCTTTAAATCTAGTTTATGGGCACCACTATGCAAGCGTGGACCATTTGGCAGTGAGCTGTACCTGTCTCTCAGTTTTGAACCTCCTCTCATTCTGACTTCAAAATGGACCTTCTTATTACTCAAGTAAAGAGGAACAGAACATTTCTTTCCATCTTTGTTTCACTCCCTGCTGTTAAAAACAATTGTTTTCCTGTGTCGATTCCACTTTCCTTCTTTCCCCAAGCTCTAATTGGAAAAGGCAACTTGATCAATGACATACTGAAGTAAAACAGAGTTTAATCTCCTCTCCTATGACAGATTGTGCAGAGTACTCACCTCAGCCCGTGGAGCTGCCATGCGATCAAAAATAGGCACTTGAGGTGAAACGCTTTTACTGCAAGGAAGGGAGACAACAAGGAGGTAAATATGTCTCTCTAGCCCTCGAAAATACTACATGATCAGTAATACAATGTCATCATCTTTGTTATTTAAGAGGCAGGCAAGCCACAGATCACTGGAGAAACTGCATGAGAATCTGTGCAGCACTGAAGTAAACACACTCGGATGCAACAACATTGCCCTAGTTCTCTCAGTTTCAGTGCAGAGCAGCAGCAGTCTGATGATGGCCGCTGCTGAGAACAGATGGAATTTTCAATACAGTCAGTTATCTTGGACTTCTCTTCCATAGCACTGCTCAGCCCCCCTACTCTGCCTTCTGGGCATCCCTATTTCTAGCACTTAGGGCATTTAGTTCAAACTCTGCCATCATTCACGCATCCAGGAAGGCAAGCACACAGGTAGGTTTTGCACTGTTTGAGGTAAACGAAAGGGAAACGGGTCCATCTTTGCCATATTGAAAGAAGAATTAATTTGTCTGAAGGGTGATGAAGTATAACGTCTACTTAGCAGTTCTCCAAAGGGGTGCCAATGCTGCTATGTAGGACAGGCCCCTGTTTAGACAAAGGATAGGAACAAACGAAGTATTCAGTTTCATGTAGCATTTAAAACAGATCTCATTGAATTCAGTGCCAAAACTCAAATTCACTTCAATGGTGCAAGCCCATGTCCTTCTGCACATTGTAATAACTTTTACTGTTAAACAATTAACAGAAAGAGCTAAGCAGTATTTTTTTTTTAAGCAAGCTATACTCCTATTTTGGAATTTTCCTTTAATACATGTACCACATCCATTTCAAAACACTGAGATTACTGAAAACAAGAAATATCCTGCGTTAGCTCTACCACAAAGATTCTTATATTAGGACTTCATGGCTTCACTTGGGCAACACAGCGGCAATCCTCATTTCTCTCTCCCCCCAAAACTGGACAGCATCTCTTACCTCAAGAAATGCTGAAAAAACATGCCAATCACTTACACTCGGCGTGTCCGTGGGCGAAGTCGTCTCAGTCTGTGAGGCACCTGTTCACCATCAAAGGTTGAGTGGTAGAAGAACAGCCGTACCTCCTCATCCATCAATACCCAAACGGGTAGGCAGAGTAGGTTCTGTGCCAAGAGCAAGTAGGAAGCAGAGTGTAACAGTGGGAAAGACCAATTCTCTATTTATTTATATCTAACAAATATGCCTCTCTGACCTACGGGATCGTGAAGGATATTCATTACTGCTAGCAATCTTCCTTCTCTCCCTTCTCGCTCAGCAGGACATGGCTTAACAGCTGACAGTTTCTCCTGTTTACTCCTAGAGTTGGCCAATGCATTGCTTCACACTTTTTGTGCCTGATTTACTGCAGAAGTATTAAACTACTCTTTGTGTGTCCCTTCAAGACATGAACGACTATGGAAAGAAGGTAATCTTAAGTGCTGGAAATCTTGGCCAGTGCTTCAGACTTTTACTGATTTAAAGTCAGGTCTTTAGTTAACCTGCACACAAAGAATTTCTCTCCTCAATTTTACTAGCTGTGTCTTCACTGTAGAGGAGGTAGACCCAGAAGACCACCCCACTCTTCTAGCCCCTTAGGTGCACATAACAACTCCATATTCACACAATACCTGGGGATTCACCATTTACTCATATGTCTTGTGAGGTTATTTTGTAATTATATATTTATGAAGGCAGGGAGTGATCCTCTGTGAACTGCATTCTCCAGCAGATCCCACAGTCTGAACAATCTGGGGAATGACTGCAGGTTGTCCCACAGTGTGGATACTGTGTCATACAGAGAGAAGCAGATACCTAGGACTACAACAGTACTGTCTCTCTTAGCTTATTTCAGAGGATAAGTAACTGCACTGCTCAGTGCAATCTCTACTTTAAAATTAAGTTTTACCTTCATGTAGATGTTTAGGATAGGAATCCTGTTCTCAGCAATTTCCTTTTTGGACCCAACATAAACTTTTCCTGGAAAATATAAAACCTGTGAGAGCTACTGAAGAAAAAAATAACTGTCTGTCAGAGAAATGAAGGAATCAGAAGAAAGTAAGATTTCCAAGAAAATACACATTATCGAAAGGATTTTGGGTGTCTAAATGAACTTTACTGCAAGGGGAGGGACAGCCAATGGAAGTTCTCCAGCATCCACAGCTGGGAACTACTTCCCTAGAAAGCACTCCTCTTTAGGACAGCCTGGGGCTGAGAAAACAGCTAATCATGCACGAATTTGGTATTGACAGCATGTACAAATTTGGTATTGACAGCTTACCTGGCAATACAGGGAGTGTGCAGCTAAAAGGGCTATTATTGCTCTCTGCCCCATATCTCTCCTCTAGTTTGGTGTGCAGGGCATAGAACTGACGGTAGCGTCGGAAAATCAGGTATCTACCACCACCTTTAACCTTTACTTCAATGACAAACATCTGAAACAGAGAAGGGGGATTCAGGCTGATGTTCATACTTACATGGAAATGAGGCATACATTAGGAACATAAAATCAGTGCTTCAGCAGTGGGAATATTGTCTTAGGGATACAGTAGAAAACAAGCCTTCAGTTAAGCACCTGCAGACTCAAGTACTAGAAAATAACAAGTTAGCACCAGACAATGCGGTGCATGTAGACATGGCACTTCAGGACATGATGTAGTAGTTGTGGTAGTATTGGGTTGACAGTTAGACTTGATGCTCTTAGAGGTCTTTTCCAACCTTAGTGATTCTATGATTCTACATGTGTGTCCATCTTTCCCATGCATCATGTCCCTGTGGCTGCTTTCTGTTACTTAAAGGAAAACCTGAAATGACTAGATGCTACTTTGTGCTTACATGCATTCCCTCAGTGACAAACAAAACATATGAGGGAGGTAAATACAAATATTTTACAGTAGGATGCTTTGGACATCTAAATCTGTAAACAGACGTTTAAATGAATTGATTTTCAGAGTTGAAGGCATTCATATTTCTTTTGGACTTTTTAAAGTATAGACTTTCAGAAATTATGGTCTGACCTCCTCCAACGACTATCTTATTTCTTATCTCTGGCCAAAATTGCTTTGTTCTAAAGGAGAGCACAATTTCCATGCACTGACCTCTGAGTCATGGTGCAGCCAGATCCTTCAGAAAACATAAAAACAGAGCAACAAATTATCACTATAGTTGAGAGTAAAAGTGTGAAGATTTTATAAGCAATGTCTCCAGCAAAAGCAGTATACCCTGCAGAAGTCAGACTGAGCTGGTCTTATCCAAAAAAACCCCCCACCTCTTTGGAAAATCTCATAGTGTTTTTCCTACTATTCCCTTCCTGTGTGCTCTTTCAAGACTTACTAATATGCTACATCCTGTGGAGATGGAAGATTCCTAACTTGCCATTACTATGCAGTAATGAAGATCCTGTTCTTCTACCCTATTTGAATTCCTATCCTAGTATCTTCACCAAAGCTGCAACACTCCTACAGGAAAAAATCAGAAATTAGGTAAAAATTTTATGAAATTAGCAATTTTAGAGGATATCTCTGCCACATTTCACCCAGACAATATATTCTTACACTAAATCTGTGATAGACTAACCTCCATTCCAGAAAAAAAGAAGCACAGAGATGTTCTCCGCATGGAACTATTAATTCCAAAAAACAACTAGATGAGATTAACAGCATTTTCTTTCCCATAATCAAATGAGTCACAGATGAGGGCATATAGAGACAGGAGAAATCTATTTTCTTACATAATAATTAGTAAAGCCTTTCTTTTCTTCAATATCTGCAATGTTAGCTGAAACAGGTACATCATCTGGAAGCTGGTCAAAATCACTGTGAAGCAAGAATAAAAGATTTAGATTACTCATAGTGGCATCAGCCTTCAGAGATCTCTATGCCATACAGAACACAAAGATAGTTAGGTAATTTCACATTATCTAGTGTCAAAATCACAAAGTTAGAAACTCGTGTCATTCTTTTCCTCTGGAGGTCTTTATCTTGAGATGTCAAATTTCTGTAAGTTCAGAACACGTCAGTGATCATTGTGAAGATTCATCAATCCTGAAAAACATCCCTATCATTCCCAGGCTTTCTAGATTAGCAGGATTGCAAAAGAAACACTTGAGCTGGTAAGCTTTTCCTGAGAGATGTGATCAAATGCAGATGCATTCTTAATCCTTGCTACAGCATCTAGAAGACTTAGAATAATAACCCTGCAGCAGCAGCTCTTATTATAAGGAGATCATTATACACCATGATTTATGCTGTTATTATTACTGCATTATTGTAGGGAATAAGAAATAGTTCCAAGAAAAGAGTTTGTTGTCTGAGGTGCTGTGGAAACTAACAGTACAACAGCTACTTCTTAAAAACTTTACACTCTATGTGCAAGATGCATACAATCAGAATCATAGAATGGCCTAAGTTGGAAGAGACCTTAGAGATCATCTAATTCAACCTCCCTGCCACGGGCAGGGACGCCTCTCAACTAGATCAGGCTACTCAAGGCCCCGTCCAACCTAGCCTTGAACATTTCCAGGGAGGGAGCATCCACAACTTCTCTGGACAATTTATTCCGAAGTCTTACCACCCTTGTACTGAAAAATTGCTTCCTAAGGTCCAATCTAAATCTATTCTCCTTCAACTTAAACCCATTTCCCCTTGTCCTATCAGTGGACACTCTTGTAAAAAGTCCCTCCCCAGCCTTCCTGTAGGTTCCCTTCAGGTATTGGATGGCAGCTATTAGGTCCCCCCCAAGTATTCTCTTTGCAAGACTGAACAATCCCAGCTCCCGCAGCGTGTCCTCGTAGCAGAGGTGCTCCAGCCCCTGGATCATCCTTGTGGCCCTCCTCTGAACACGCTCCAACAGATCTATGTCCCTCTTATGGTGGGGACACCAGAACTGGACGCAGTATTAGAGGTGGGGTCTCACAAGAGCAAAGGGGGAGAATTACCTCTCTTGACCTGCTGACCACGCTTCTCTTGATATATTCCAGGATGTCGTTGGCTTTCTGGGCTGCATGAGCGCACTGCCGGCTCATGTTGAGCTTCTCATCTATCAACACCCCTAAATCCTTCTCTTCAGGGCTACTTTCAACCCACTCTGTGCCCAGTTTATATTTGTGCCTGAGATTCGCCCGGCCCAGGTGCAGGACCTTGCATTTTAACTTGCTGAAGCTCATGCAGTTTGCACTGGCCCATTTCTCAAGCCTATCAAGGTCCCTCTGGATGGCATCTCTTCCTTCAAAAGAGTCCATGGCACCACACAGCTTGGAATGTCACAATGGCCATGGGTGTCCCAAAATCAGAAAGGTATGGATGGAGCACTGTTGGTGCAGTGCCATGCTCCCCTTGGAATGCCTTGTCCAGTACAATCGTCTCTAGAGATCCAGGCTGTAAAGATCTCTTAATCCTATCCCAAACCATGACCCTGAATCTCAGGGTTCACAGAAATATCACAATGGCTGTGGGAGTCCCAAAATCAGAAAGGTGTGGATGGAGCACTGTTGGTGCAGTGTCGTGCTCCCCTTGGAATAATGCCTTGTCCAGGTCAAGTGTCTCTGGATCTCCAGGCCTTATGGATCTCTGAACCTTAACCATCCATCACCCTGAATCTCAAGGCTCAGCCTGATGTCGCTATGGCCATGGGTGTCTCTGAAGCACTAATAAAAGTGAAATCAAAGGAACCTATGAGAAACAACAGAAAGATAACCAGAAATGAAAAAAAACAAAACAAAACAAAACAAAACAAAAACCCCAAAGACACAGTATTTTTCTGTGTCATAACCAGTGGGGTCTGCTCAAAATGTTGACAAGATTTCCTGTAAACATCACAGTTTGAAAAAACAACGGGTAGCCTAGCAAATATTTATGGGGAGACGTCTTAGTCACAGCAGATAACCTGAAGCAAGGACAACGATACTTGTTTGAAAATGTCAAAAATGTGAAGGAACATACGATAGCGGGCAAGGTTGTATAAATTTTGCAGATCCTAGAAAGTATTGTTTTTGAAGCAGGTTTCCCTGCAGGAACACCTAAAGAGCAGCCATATGATCACAGGTTTCTGTGTGATCTCATGTTTCTTGTCTATTTTGTTCACACAATAAAACAGCAGGGCTTGGCAGGTACTTTTCCCTCTGGGACCTTCTCCTTGGTACAACATCTTTAACAAACAAAAGACTAATTCACCTGTGTTTCAATCTTACAACTCAATGTTGCTACAGTGCTATTAATAATAATACTTAAGTAAGAAGTGTCAAGACTGAGGAAATAAGGATAACAAATGAGGTAGGGAGAACAGAAACTTTTAAAATGATCATCTAAGAAATGTCAAGCTGACATAATGTTAAATATTCTAACAATAACAACAAAAAAAACCCCACATGGCAGTTGGTTAGGTTTATTCTACTAGGAGAATATCCTAAGCAGGGGCTTCCACAACGCGTAGCCCATTTGGAAGGCTGAAGTAATGATGCAAAGTCTTGCAGTAGCTTGCTGCACAAGAAGAGTGACATGAATCAGCACCACCCACCACACTGTAAATAGTACCACTTACTATGAAGAGGGATGTGGTTATGAAGATCCAGAGATATAATTAGTCGTATCACAAACACTCATATCACAAACCCCAGGAAAAGGGAAACTGTTTGCAGCAATAAAGAGAATAATGGCCCACTGTTGTCTCAGGTGGTGAATATTACCCACAATAATGAGAAAGTCCACTCCAACTTAAAAAATAGTCTGCACCACAGTGAGCTACAATAACAAGAAGCCTTTTAGAAGCTTGCATCAAAATTAAATGAACAGATCATAGCAGGTACACAGAGGCTTGTGGGGAGACGGGAGGAGGAAGAGACATTACCTCTTTTCTCGCAGCTGTCGGGGAAGAGACATGATTTTCAGCTTCTTAAATCCAGATGGCTAAGCTCTATTCCTCCACTTCTTGGGCTGGTCCTGGTTGAATAGGACGAACACAGTTGAAGCAATTCTCCTTGCTTGAGCCAAGACTCCTTTACAAGGCCTAAGAGATCTTTTTTTAATGTTTCAGTGTCAGACGATTTCTTATGAACTTCCCCACCCCCACGAGATTGAGGAAGTACTAGAGAAAAAACAGTCACAACGAAAGACTGTTTTGTGTTGTCTGTCATGTATCAAAACTGCCACAGTTGAGAAACCAAAAGCTGAACAAAAAGCAAAAACTATGAGACACATATTCCATTGTCCATCTCTTTCACTGAAACATCTGCCTTTGTGGAAAGCCAGTGTGAGTAGGCTCAACAAATTCTGGTTTGCCCCAGCTAAAACATCCCCATATACCCCTTTACACTAACATTTATAATCTAGAATGAACATTTCTGATGCTTTCTAGAGGCTCTGTGATTCCCGAGAATCCACCTTTCCTTGGACCAAGAGCCAGGAGGTGGAGCTAAAGAATAAATTTTCAAGTGGGAGCAGGAAATATGGTTAGGAAATTCAACTTCGTCAAACGTGAGTAACAGGGTATCAGGCTCAGGAGGCAGGAAATGAGCTTTGAAGGATGGATCAATGCAAGACATGAGTCCTTGAATGAGCAGAGATCTTTTCAGCTTCATGTGCTCAAAACCATCCACGTTTGCCACCTACAAAGACACAGTAATGGCTCACCCAAAGAGAATCCTGACTGCCCTGCCTTGTATACAAAGGGTAGTGACATAGCATCAATCTTTCAAGAAGAAAATGAAAGGAAGGCGGTGGCAAGGAAATCATCATTTCCCAACACTGCGAGCAAGTTGCAACATAGCTTATCAGCCTTCTTTGAAAGCTGTCATGTGCAGTATCTTTGCCTCTCCATTTCAGTCTTCGACTCTCTTCCATTTTCATGTTCAATACACATCTGGTTCCTTCTTCTCCTTCTGCTGTCTGGCACAAAAATTCTCATCTGAATGGAGCAAAAGTCAGCCTTCAAAATAAAACCCTCTATGACTGTAATCATCTACCCTGAGCATAAACTGCATTTCACTGTATTTTAATTAAGTTAAGAGCGTTCCTTGGAAGGCTGTTCTGGAGGGCATGGGAGCCCAGGAAGGCTGGGCATATGTTAAGGAATTAATTTTAAAGGTGCGGGAACTGACTATACCCAAGTCATGGAAGACAAGCCAACGGGGGAGGAGACCAGCCTGGCTGAACAGAGAGCTTTGACTGGAACTTAGGAACAAAAGGAGAGTTTATGGTCTATGGAAGCGGAGGCAGGCAAATTATGCCTGTGCAGGAAGAAAATTAGAGACGCAAAAGCCCATCTAGAGCTAAACATGGCCACTGTGGTGAAGAATAACAAGAAAAGTTTCTGTAAATACATTAACAGTAAGAGGAGGTCTAGGGAGAATCTCCATCCTTTGTTGGATGCAGAGGGAAGAGCAGTGACCATCGATATGGAAAAAGCTGAGGTGCTTAATGCCTTCTTTGCCTCAGTCTTTAACAGCAAGATCAGTTGCTCTCTGGGCACACAGACCCCTGAGCTTGAAGAAAGGGATGAGGAACAGAATAGGACCTGCATAATCCATGAGGAAATGGTTATGGACCTGCTTCAGAAGATGAATCCTCATAAATCTATGGGGCCCGATGGATTATACCCTAGAGTGCTGAGGGAGC